AGCTGCGGCCTCACCAAGGCTGAGTACAATGGGAGAATGGCGTCCCGGGATCTGCTTGGTCTCTCATGATGTCCTCATGGAAAAATTGGCCAACTGAGGCCTTGGCTACACTACAGTCCAATGGCTTGGGAACTGGCTCCGAGGTCAGACCCAGAGAGTGGTAGTTGATGGAACTGAATCAACATGGCACTCAGTGACCAGTGGTGTCCCCCAAGGCTCTGTTCTCTGACCTGTGCTGTTTAACATCTTAATAAATGATCTGGACTCTGGTGTCAGAAGCGGACTGGCCAAGTTCATTGATGACACCAAGCTTTGGGGAAGAGTGTCCACACTTGAAGATAGGTTGGGGATTCAGCCTGACCTGGATAGGCTGTCAAGGTGGGTGGATCAAAACCTGATGGCATTCAACACAGAGAAATGCAAGGTTCTCTACGTTGGGAGAAAGAACTCACATTATACTTATAGGCTCGGCAGTGCTACACTCACTAGCACCATGACTGAAAGAGACTTGGGGGTCATGATTGACCACAGGCTGAACATGAGCCACCAATGTGATGCTGCAGCCCACAAAGCGAATAAAACTCTGGCTTGCATCTACCGATGCATCTCAAGCAAGATCCAAGAAGTCATCCTTCCACTTTACTTGGCCTTGGTGAGGCCGCAGCTGGAGTACTGCATCCAATTCTGGGCTCCACCTGTTACAAAGGATGTGGAGAAGCTTGAGAAAATCCAGAGGAAAGCCACACACATGATTAGAGGTCAAGAGAGCAGGCCTTATGGGGAGAGGCTGAGAGGAATGGGACTCTTTAGCTTAGAGAATAGAAGGCTCAGGGGTGACTTGGTGGCAGCCTATAAGTATGCAAGGGCTGTGCATCTGGAACTGGGAGAACATCTGGTCACCAGGGCACCCCACGGGAAGACAAAGTCTAACAGTCATAAACTGCTGGAAGACCATTTTAGACTGGATATAAGGAAAAACTTCTTTACCGTCCGAGTCTCCAGAGTTTGGAATAGACTCGCCCCAAGAACTGGTGCAAGCGCCTACTCTGGATACATTCAAGAAATGCCTGGATGCTTACTTTGCTGGGGTCATCTGACCACAGCTGACTTTCCTGCCCTTTGGTCAGGGGCTGGACCCAATGATCTCGCAAAGTCCCTTTCAGCCCTATGAAATCTATGAAATCCACTGGAATAGATATATTGGTTTGGGGTGTGGAATGATCATACCCCATATATTGATATTGGCAAAATGCCTGGTGTGGACCTTCCTACTCTGCCAGCAAAGCTTCTCTTATTTGCGGAGTAGGTGCAATTGGTGGCAGAAATACTACTTTTGGTGTACATGTGCTGGTACCAGAAGGCTCTGCTGCGTTAGTTAAGGAAGCAAGTTCCCAGTTTCTCAAGTGACTTAGGCCCTTTTGAAATTTACCTTTGACTTTTATTAAACCACGCCTTCCTTGGAGGTTAAAGTGATAACTTAAGATTTAGCTGGTCCTGGGCTGCAGAATGGCAGACAGTTGCAAGAAGGCAAAGCTCATTTCTTGGGCTGAATCTTTTTGTTTTCATAACATTTAACAAACTTTTTTGACCATCTCTAGATTAGATTCTATGTATTTCCTCCCTCTTACAGAAACTGAGACCTGTAGCTGTAACATTGCAGCCAACATAAATATTTGTTGTTGCATCACTGTATGAAACAGCTTTTTGTTTTACACAATTCACATTTATTAAAAAGCCTGAACGCCCTCCCAGAACCAGTCAGGCTTGAAAAATCTTTTGTTGGCTTTCAAGGCTGTGGACACTTAAACTCCTAGAACTAGATCCAACAAAGGATGTAGGCGCTTAAAACTTAGAAGCCACAATGACTCATATAGATGCTTGGTCCCTGGGCTGGAATTCAGAACTTCAGTGCTGAGGTACCTTGGCTCCCTGTACAGTGTATGGGGAAACTTCGGTGCTTCAGAATGGGATCCAAAGGAGCCAGTAGGCTGAATGGAGAGCGGCTTAGATCAGTTTAAAAGAAAATGCCAAAGAGAGGGCTGTGACTGAAATCCTGCCCCCTTTGAGTCTTAGGGGTCTCAACCCCTTTGGGATCCCCCTGCTTGGAATGCTTTTGTGGGAGTCAAAGCTCCTTCTTATTCTCTCTTTCTGCCCCTTGAGCTAGGTGCCTTGAACTAGGCATCTTTCATGAGTGACACTTTTTCTGGGCATGCATAGAAACACGATTCTAGGACACAGCTGGACAGCCTGGCGCCTGCAGGCTGATCTGGCTTTGAGGATGTCTGAGTGCGCGGGGGAACAGTGGCATGACGTTGCACTGTGCCACCCACCAGCCCCTCTGCAGTGCTTCCCTCTGCTGTGGAACCTGCTGCTTTGCCACATCTGTGCTTCCCTCCCTGCAGAAGGGTTGGGAATCTGCTCATGTCATGTTGCAATTCTGGAAGAGTACACCAGGATGTTGATACATGGGATTTCAGATGCTGTAGTTTGATTTCATGGCGATATCCCTCAAATCTGAGATTAGCATTATATGATATCACGATAGGATCAGACCTGGAGGGGAAAACGGTGAAGGGGGACTATGGAGGCTTGTGTTTTACAGCAAATGGAAATGCCAATACAGTATTTGCGTGAAAATCTAGCAAAGGACAACTTGGAGATATGGGCACATCTGAGGTAGCTGAAGGTTTATATTGCTGTTATTTACTGAGCATTGCTTGCTTACAAGCAAGACAGGGAGAGTTCTTCTTAAATTGAGAACAAAGCCAAAATCATCAACAGTTCTTTTTTCTATCATAGTTACTGGGTTTTTTTTCTTGCTCTACTGGGGAAAAAACGCACGTATGGGCTGAATTCTACTCTTCAGTTATCATAGTGAAGATCTGGGACTTCTCCATTCGGTTCAAAGGTGTGGATGTTAGAGGCATTGGTGGCAGTGCTTAAGTGAGGGAAGCGGCAAGGTTAAATCACTAGGTTAAGAGAAAAATGTGCTGGAATCAAAGGCCAAAGCCTGTGAAATAGGGAAGAGGCCCTACAGAGAGAGTCCAGATTGGGGAACGTCACTACGGGATTCACCTTTGAGAAGTTCAGCCAAAGGACTTGAATTCTGGAAGTTTTTCAGATCCCCCCCCCCCAATCCAGTGTAAGATTAATTTACAGTACTGAGGGAGGGTCAAATTGGTGTCTGGCCCACTGCCAAAACTCAATTTACTTTGCTTTATCAAAAGGAAAATAAACTTTCATCTGTTTTTTCTCTGATTTCTTTTCCTTAGTATTAAGATAGGGTTGGTGTTAACTGAGTGTAAACCCTTCTCCACAGCAGGGAATTTCTAGGTTTTGGGTTGTTCAATACATCCACACATACATGTTTAATTTGGTTTGTTAGCCTGTTCTCAGCTTTACTAGCTTTGACTTGACTTTGGTTTGAATACAGAATGAAAAATCTCAGCGAACTGCAGCTGCCAACCAGTTATTTTCCAGGGGTCAATGTTCAGTTACCTCTTGCATCTCTCTGCTGCTTATTTTGAATTGCTGTTCAAACGCCAACATACAGTTCGCTCCATTTGAGTATCTAATTAATTTTTTCACCTCTTTCCTGCTGATCGGTTCTTCACATTTTTCCCTGCCGTGCGAGGGAACGATAGGTCCACACTGCTTTGCTTTTTAATGTGATTAATCAGAAAGGTGTGCCCACACTGGAAAGATGTGCCCATTTTCTTCCTCTCCCTGTCTGGCTGGTCTGAAACCACACTTCCTTCAGGATGCCAAAGCTATTGAAATGTTTTGATTAACTTTTCTTTCCCTAAATTATAGGCAGGCTGGTAGCACCACCTATTATTAAGGTTGCCTGACACATTAGAAGACCCTGCTTTCAGTTGTTTATAACTTGCCAAACTAATCATTTGGGCTGAAATTTTCTCTGTCAGGTGCCTGCCTCAGGCCAGTTTTCCTCTCTGCCTTGAATAGAAAACTCAGAGTAAAAATTCTCTAGCCATTTCCAGGAATCAAGCTATGGAAAAATACATTGTTTCTGTCCATGTCAAAAAGTCAGGGTGACCTTTTCCTTATAAAACTCTAATGCCCACATTCTTTGAGGGAGAGACTTGAAATTTGCTTGAATGCCTTTATACATTCCCTGAAAATCCTCCCACATCTGACCAAGTTATAACTTTCTGAAAAGCTGCAGTTAATACGTATGCTTAGTGGAGACATCTTGGCTCTTAATATATGGATTTCTTAAAGATTCTGTTCATCTTGCTCAAGCTCCAGGTTCAGGCCTGAGTAAGATTTTATCTGAAATTGCAACTCTGAGCCACTGTGTGCCATCCTGGCTCGATACCTAGTACCAGAAAATGAAAATGGGGATTTTTTTTTTCTCTCTAGCGCTCTCAGCACTACCCAGCTGTTTCTAAGAGGAGGAGGCTTCCTGATTCAAACTTAGAGGGGTCATGGCCTAGGTTAGGGAGAGGAGGAGAATGTGGGAATAGAGTGTCACAGGGAGCCTGGGGGTGTGGGACTAAAGGTAAGTCGGGTAGCTGGACCTGAATGTGGTTGTGGTACTGGTGGAAAAGTTTGGGAAAGAACTAGAAATTATGAAGGGAAATCTGATGCAATGGGGAAGACGACTTAGATGCAGAGGAACAAGAGGAAGAAGGAGAGGACTAGCAATGAGTAGGTAGGGCAAAGAATGGGGCTGATTGGGAAAGATTAGGACTGAAGGGAAAACACAAGGGACAAGGGGAAGAGAAATATCTGATGAAGAACTTTTCACTCTTGTTGGGGAAAGAGACAGGGACAAAGATCTGTGGGTGAGGGAAGGGGGGCACTTGGAAGAGCAAGATAAATGAGGAGCCTAGGGAAAAGACTGGTTTTAGGACCATGGGTGGTCAATATGACCTGGCACTAAAATGAGAAGGAGAGTTTCCCTTGACTCCCAGTCTTGAGTGGAGAAACTATAACTGCAAGGGGGCAGAGAACGGGAGGAGAAGCCAGAGCATTGGAGACTGAGATTAGCTAGAGACGATGGGACTGATACACAGAGACAGTGCTTGGGAAGAGATGGGGTTGTATTAGAGACAGGTTTGAAGGAGTCATGATTAGTGGGAATGGGTAGAAGATTTTGGAACAGTAGTGCTTGTTGTGAATCCTAAATTCTGTGTTTTTGAGCAGCTATTACAACAACATGTTGTCATTTTACCAGGGCATTGTGAAAATAAATGAATTGCTGTTTGTAAAGTTCTCGCTTTCTACTGATGCATGCCATAGAAATGGCCTATGAGGAAGTTAAGTCTGTCTTCCAAGCAGGACCTGAAGAGTGTTGAATAGTTGTTCTCTGAGTGATCATCATTTATTCCATGCACTGAATGAGGCCTGGGAGCCTGTGGGGAAATAGAAGCATGTGAGTATGCAATGTGGCTGAGTTAAGATTGCTGCCTTATTTTGACATCACCTGATTTCTGAGTCCTTGACTTCATAAACTTAATAGTAGTCTTCTCATGTGTTTTGGTTTTTTTTGGCGGGGGGAGGGAGGGTTGTAATTAAAGAGAATCAATAGTGTTCCAGAGAATTTTTATAGTCAAATGGATTATGCAAGGGGTCCTCAACTCCTGGCCTGCAGGCCAGCCCAGCCCAGCCCAGCCCAGCCCACAGAGCCACATCATCTGGCCCATAGGGCTCCCCAAAGTTCTGAAAATTTGGCAGTAAGGGAGTAGGGCAGCCTGAATTGCTTCTCCCCTGCCAAATTTCTGGACCTGTGGAGAACCCCGTGGGCCAGATAGTGTGGCTCTATACGCTAGATTGGGCACATGAGGCCTGATCTGCTGGTGTGGGGCTGGGCCAAAGTGGTATGGAGTCTGATTTAGTGGCATGGGGCTGGGTTGAGGCAACACCGACCCCTATCTGGCAGCTCAAGGCCACGCTGAAGTGCTGCAGGGACCAATCTGGCAGTGTGGTATGAAGCCCGCTCTGGTCCACGGACTGGCCTCATGCCACTGATTCAGCCTGCAGGACCAAAACGTTGAGCACCATTGGATTATACTGTCTCTCAGGGTGTTTTTGTATGGTGTAACTTTGAATTGTCATACCAGGACAGGAAACCATGGATGAGTCCGAATGATTTGTTTTTCTATAAATCTGAAGACCGTATTATATTATAATACAGTTCATGTTAGGATTCATGTTACTATTTCCTTACTTGAGCCATTCTCAGTATAAATACCTTTTGGAATGCCCATAAATATGCAGTACTGATACCTTCTACTAAGTCTAGTGTTGATTAGCATAGGCATCCTGTTATTTGTTGAAACTGAATTTTTCTGATTTTATTTGGATTAGGTTAAATTGGTCTTATTTTGTTAGTGTCTCTGTTCAGTTTGTTTAATGAATTTTGTTGTGCTAATTCTTTCTGACCTAGCTTTGCAAATGATCTATGGGAAAGCATTGTTATCTGACAGGTCAGGACATTGAGGCAGGGTGAAGTCAAATCTTTTGTCAAAGGTTACTCCACTGATGACTAATCAGAGACAGGAACTGAGGAGCTGAGGAACCGAGAAGCTTTTAGTGTGTTAGGGACCCATTAGACAGGCCAGTACACTGTTGGCCAGAAGATCGGGGTATACTTCAATGCTCACTTATTTGGGTAATAGGAAAAATATGCATCTTATTATATTGGTCTTTAGATACACCTTATGAAAATAATCTATGTTTATATTTGGGCTATATTCTATTCTGTTTGGGCAAAACTCATGGATTTGAACGGGATTTCTGAGCAAGAAATAAGGGTGGAATATGTGCTTTTAAAACCACATTATTGAGAGAAAAAGATGAGTAATTTAGTAGGATAGCAACTTTCTGGACTTGTAGTAAAAATGAATTAAAATTATAGATAGTTAAGAGAAAATCATTGGGTGAAGAAATATAGTTAAAAGAGCACATCTGTTTTAAATTCTTGTTTGGAAAAAAAAGTCCCACATATGTTTTTATTTTAAATTTGTATGTGTGTTGTTATCCTTGTGTTAACTATTAGGTAAATAGAAGCATTGAGAATCCATTTTCCAGTGAAGTCTGGTTAGGAATATTTGTACATATTGCATGGGAGATAATTTGAAAGCTAATTGGAGCTTTGTGAGGAACCAATTCCCTGCAGATCTCCTAATTCAAAATACCTGCCTTTTGCATTGAATACCTGCCTTGGTATTTACCAAGGGTGTGTATTTGTTTTGGATATGAAATGACTTTTTTCTTCAATGTGCATTTTTTACATGCCTGCTAGAGTACTGCATAACACAGAACCATGTCACACAACACACTCTAGCATAACAAACACAACTGGACCAAGGTCTGAACTTCAAGAGAAAACATATTTGGTTTTGATTTTATTAGGTACATACATACAGTCACGATCCATTTAGATACTGTGTTTTGATATAATATTGTAAAGTTGATGAGCTCCCTGCTGGGTATATAGAAGAGATTGAACTAATAGGTCTAGCTATGTGGGTATAAAATACGGGTGAAATCCTGATCCCATTTAAGCCACTGGTAAAACACCCTTTGACTTCAGTGGAATTGGATTTCATTCCAAAAATTTTGGATGGATATTTGCTATACCCCTGCTCTTCTACAGAAATTCATGCTAAAGGGTTGGCTCATTGTATCTTACACTGAAGAGTTATGACAATGAAAGTCTACTTGGAAGAGGATAATCTCAAGGGGTGCATCTACATGTGCAATTAATTTGAAGTAATAAACTGCAGAGCAGTTTGAGCTGGAGTAAACTATTCTTGGGCACAGTGTCTATATGTGTGCCCACGACAGCAGCAATTTGAGCTGGGGCAGAACAGTTTATGCCAGGGACAAGAGAGAGGGGAGTTAGCCCCGAGCTCTGGGTGCTGGCGTCAGGCAGTGAAGGGGCTGGCTGGGGCATGAGAGAGTGTTGAAAGTGTGGAGCCATGTGGCTAGGTGTTGAGCAGAAGTCTGGCTCCCTGCTGGCTGGGCTTACCAGGTGCAATTCACATCAGTGGTCAGCTTCTACACATGCATTTAATCACAGTTAATTACCCTGCTGTAAGATAGTACTGTCCTTGACGGTACTATTTTAAGATGGCATTAATTAGTTTACTGTGGTATAATAGCATCACGTGTGTAGATGGCGATGTTTTAGTCACAGTTAGCTGCACATGTAGATGCGGCCAAGCTGTTCATAACTGCCCGTCTACCTCCGGGTGCTTGAGATCCCGAAGTGTCCCGTGGTGGCCAGTACAGTGATTCTCATGCATTGCTTTGAGGTCAATCACCAGGGGTGGGATCTTAAAATTGGTAGGCTAACAGTAAGTTAGGATTATTTTCCAAAACTGAAAGGAAAAAACAACCCCAGCTGTTCTAGTCATGCAAATGAAACACAAAACAGACAAAATGTTAACGATTCCTCATATGTGAGACTAATTTGAAGTGATTTTAGCTCAATGGTAATTTCCATCTTGTGTTTTGAATAATTAGGAAGGTATTGGACACTAGGATTAGTATGAAAATAGTCTCAAGAACTCATTACAAGCTTGGCTATCATTGGTGATAGAAAAGGCAGAGCTGCAATATTGCCCCTTACCATTTGCTACTCTAAAATATAGAGCAATAAGAAAAGAACACAAGTCATTAGAGAATTCTGTTAAAAGCATGAGAGTGCCTCTAATTGCAGCAGCAAAAAAAAGGCCTTTGGCCTAAAAATCTTCCATCACATATTTTTATCCCCAGTGCAGAGGAGGAAGGTAAAAAAAATAATCTGTGTCTGTAGTTCTTGCCAAATGGGCATGGTTTTTGTGTTCGTAAAGACCCTGTAGGGATATGGGGAATTGTTTGACACAATAAAAATTTACAGCCACTTAAAGTGTTATCATTACTCCCACTTCTCTTTCTAACTTGCATAGCACAATCAGGTGGTATGTACATACAGTCGTACTAATACCTGCCAAACTGGGCACAAAGCAGCAAATATTCTTGGCTCATGTAGGAAGTTGAACCTGGAAAAAAATCTGCCAGTAGAGGGGCAAGCCAGTGCAGTGTTTCAGGTCCTGCTCCTGCCAATTGCTCTGAGCAAGAGGAATTCTATGTCAGGCCTCATTAATTTAAGTAGGGCTTCACAAGGGCTCAGGGATCCTGCCACTTGGCACAATTTACATGACTGAGGCCTAGACGGAGTGCGAGTAAATGCAATTGACAGGAATCTGCAGGAATACAAGAGGGAACTAATCAAGGAGAGAGGAGAAGGAAAAGATGGTGGAGTTGTTATGATTGGGGGAGTTTGTTTGAATTAAAAAATCCTGTTGAAATGTAGTGAGTGCTCATGTGTTGTCAAAGCAGTCTTGACACTGAGATTGTTACCTTATGAATGTCAGACTTCAAAGGTGAGTTACTGTCCCTGCTGAAGTTAGCGAGTTCTGACTGACTTTAATGGGGCTATGATTTCACCCCAAGCCAGGTCTGTGCTTGTTTGTACATCCACTTCTGCCTCTCATCTAGTCCCTACTGAAATCTAGTGTTTGCTTTACATCCCCTGAGCTTCACATTAAGATACAAAATCATTCAAACCTTGTGGGGCAGAAGTTAAACTCTGAATAGGACCACAGAAGTCACATTTAACCTCTGCATTATGTGCAGCAGTGATTCATTTGCTGCAGAAAAGTAACCATCACCACTTTTCATGGTGAAATCCAAACATGACACATTTGGAAACATGTGTGCCTGTCCTTAGGCAGGAAGAAGTATGAGGCTTGGACACAGGCAGAGACCTGCTGGGTTTTACTGCCTTGATAGGACTGTGGACAGGCTCACAATACTCTTGTATGGCTGGTTGACATATCAATTAACTGATTTGTTCTGGTTCCTATAGGAAAGAGGGTGATGTTTCCTGGACTGATGTGGCTGCACAGGAAATACCAATTGGCTGCTGCTGTGGTAAGTTACAGTTGGCATGTCTATGAATGGCAACATGCTGTTTTCCCATCTTAGATATTTGAGTCACTTTTGAGAACTTGAGTGGGTAGATATACATTGAAACCTACCCGTGGTGCATTTTTGTAGGATCTTTTTCTAGTCCACACTTTTTCATTCTCCCCTAACATTAATTATGCCTGTTTAAATAGTTTGACTATGTGATAAATAGTTACAGCTGCATAACATAGGGATTGCCAAACTGGATCTGATAGAGCCGCATCTTGTTCAGTATCCCATCTCCAACAGTAGTTAAAAACCAAAATGCTTTAGAGGAAGATTCAAGAATCCATGCAGTAAACAGTTGTGGGATAACTTGCCTGTAGGGCAATTTCTTCTTGACCCTCTTAGTTAGAGTCTGGTTTATACCCTGAAGCCTGAAGGCTTGTTATTAGCAGTCATAATAACTGCTTAAAGGCTGTATATACAAGATCTTGGTATGGGAAGATTTGAATGTCACTATGGAGATTGGAGTACCTCTGATATAGTCTATTTGAAGATTTTTTTTCTTTTAAGGTAACTACTACTTCTGTCCCTCAGTTTAAATGGCAAAGCCCAGGGAAAAAGAAGTTTTTTTCCAGTAGCTTAATTTTCTTTCTTTCCAAACTCTGAACATGTGTCTGTTCTCTGCTTTTTGGTTCCTCTCCGTTTGTGCATTCTTTGTTAATTTTATGGCATGGACTAGGCCAAAGGAGAAGCATAGAAAATCAGAGTCAATATGATTGAATTCATGAGAAAATGCCCCAAAAATTAATTTATTATGAGTGAGACTCATGCCAAAAAGACCAACTTAATTGTTTTTTGTAACCCTTGGAGAATGTACTTGAGGGCTTGACAGCACCAGACTGAGCTAGGAACATGGGAGCCAAGTTGTCTGTAACATTCAGTGAAACAGCTCTGCCAGTGTGTCCTCTTCATATCCTGCAATAAGTTACTCATTGGCAGCTTCTGAAAAGAGACTCAAAATTATACACAGATTTGATGTGAGAGCCAGGGGAATATAGCCTCAGTATGACAACCTGTTAGTGTTTTCAGCAGCATAAAATAGAAGCATCCATAGGGTATATCTGTTGTTTTGTCTTCATTTGACAGTCTGGCTAGCCAGAGGGGAAAAGTATAATTCTTGCCACAGTTGCTGGCTTTGTGACTTGGAACATTGAAGAAACTAATAGGACTCCAGGCCTGTGCATTACTTGACAATTGGCAGATGTCCTTAATACAGGGTGAGGTCAGTGTTTTCCTAGACATCAGCTAGCTACAAAGAGGATGCCAGCAGCCTAAATTCCTTTTGTGATCTGAATCACATTTAAAATCAGTTCTTCTGAGATGAATTCATATTTGTATTTGAAGCCATTGCTTAATCTTGTACCTGGCCTGATTAATTCTTTAATGTTCTTTAACTTAATCTCAGAAGCCCTCATTGATATTCTACTAAAATACATTCTAATGAGTGGCAGCATTAGCATCACAGAAAATGTTGCCCCTTAAGCTTTTCCTAATATGTGTGTGTCTGTGGGGCAGTATAAATGTGCACAATACTTCTTTATATTTAAATGTTAAAATCATTAGCTCACAAAAGTACTCAGGATTTTTTTGTAACAGAAGCAGGGAAAAGAATGTGCCAAGGAAGATGGGTAGTTCAGGCTAAATGTGGCAGTTCTCTTTTGCATTACTATTGTTGTCAGGGCTTTAGACAAATCATCAGTTCCTCAATTATTTTTCCATGCTCTCCATGCGGGTGTTCTTGGGTTGGCAAAGACTGCTGTTAAAGGTGTCTGCATAGATGATCTTCACATATGCTTAACTGATGCATCCAGACACTGCTTTGTAGCTACCACACAGGAGGCTGAGGTTCAGCTTTTGATTTGCTGGAAATGAAAAGCTTTGCCAGCTTTGTGAAAAATCTGTCATCAAAAGTCTGTTTAGGTAAGAAGAGATTTTATTTTTAAGACAAAAATTTGCAGCTCTCTGTCTGTTTAAGTACGTGTGTAAACACATACACGCAGAGAGAGAGAGTCATGTGTATGTATTTATTAAACACAAGGGCAGATTTAAAAAATAGTGACCCTAAATCAGCATGCAAATTTATGTGAGCAATTGAATGGATATTGTATGCTTGCAAATGTGAATATACTCATTGCATATCCAAAGTGTAAATTATATTCAGTATTTACTCAAATATAAGACAAGGTTTTTCCCTCCTAATTAGCATGGCAGAAAAAGCCCCTCATCTTGCACTCATGTACAAGGAAACCTCTTTAAATACATTGTCTATCATTAAACTGTTGCCAAAAGCAGCGTGTGCTCAGTCATGGAAACCAACTATGAAGTTAATGTAAATGCAGCCAACACTGAATATGACTATAAAACACATGGCCCATGCTGAGAAAATATACTGATGGGAACCCTTTTTTTTGTGAGGCCCTTAAAATGAGTGGGTATACCCTCTGCGGAGAACTGGCATTGGGCCTGAAGGTACTGCAATACCAGGCCAGCATCAGGAGGGCCAGACCCTGCCCTGATATCTTGCCCTTGGTGCCAAAAAATGCTTCATGTGATCTTAGCCAAAAAAGGCTGAGATGCTGATGGGAACCTTTTTTTTTTTTGGAAATATTTTTGTATTCCAGGTCAAATTAGCCAAATCAGTGCTGAATCTTCTCGAGTGAGCAACACTCAATCGTTCAAATACCATATGTGATGCTACAACTGGCAAGTATCCTTCACCCCAGGCTTTTCAGCCTGAAAGTGTGCTTAAGAAATACCTGTAAAATTTATAGTAGTTTCAAAAAAGGTAAAATTCATCAATTCTGGATGAACTAAATCTAGGTGTACCCATAGTAACTTGCTTATGTGCAAAGTACTTCTTTCAAAGTCAGTGTTTTCAACTTTGTTCTTCATTTCTATGTGCTCAGGGAGAGCAGATTTGTCAGTAATGGGGAGAGGGGAAATGGCTACAGGGGGAAGCAGTTGGTGGGGACCAGAGGGCAAGGGGACCACCTGACCCCCATGGATTTATTTTCCCTTCTGTAGCAGCAGGAGGCAGATGAATTCAAGGCAAACCTCCAATAATTAGATTCTATACCTAGAAATCTATAACAAATTTATACATTTTCTATATATAGAAACTAATTACTGGGGATTTATTTTATATTCAGGGCTGTCTCATATTTGAGTAAATATGACACTTCCATGCAGTAGGGTTGTGGGAAGCTTTGGTCCCCGATTCGATTCGGCAGAGATTCTGCCTGATTCAGTGGCCAAATCTCTGAATCCGACTCAAATCAGAGGAAACTTTAATCTCTCCAAATTGAGTCAGAGAGATATGGACAGATTCAGTGATTCGGATGCAGATACAGCTTTAAATGTTTTTTCTACATACCTCTAGGTAGTAGGGGCTCTGAACACTGCAGCGCTGGGACAGATGCAGCATCCCACAGAAGCACAGGGGCTCCCCAGCGCGCTTGGCAGCAGACCTAGAAGTGGACCAGAAGGACTTCCAGGTCCACCGGGGATCACGTGGGCCCCCACACCCTGTGCCCCCTGGCTCAATGACGGGTGCTTCCTGCATCCGGGGGGGACCCGGGGTCCCCCTGCAGCTGATCACTGATCTGCGGGGGGGTGGGGGGACCCCAACACACTCCTTGGTGGGCCCAGAAGTGCTTCTGGTCTACTGTGAGGTTTGCTGCTGAGCATGCTGGAGAGCCTCCTGCGCTGCTGTGGGATGCTCCATCTGCCCCAGCACTGCAGCGATAATGAGCCATACTGCTACCTCAAGGTATGTAGAAATTGTTTTTAAAGCTGTGCTGTGTCTGTGTCTGAATCGCTGATTTGCCGAATCAGCATTGAATCTTCAGATTTGGATTCAGCCGAATAGAATTGGGGACAATCAATAGATTGAATCACTGTCCCTGATTCGGGCTAAATCCGAATTGAATAGGGCCCATTTTGCACACTCCTACCATGCAGGTATATGCAGCCAGCCAACTGAATGGTCATTGTAGCAGAGAGAGCTTGGGGCTTTCTGTCACTTCAAGAGAGAAGAAGCCAAGAGAGAGGACCCTGCAGGGAAGGCAGAGCACAGCAGGAGCTGGGTTGCCATGCAGCCCAGGCAATGAGATTAATTAGGAGGCACCTGCAGGCCACCCTGGAGGGTCACTTGTCCAGAATGAGGCAGGGCCAGACAGGTATAAGGCAGTCCCAAAGGCAGGTCAAAGTACTTCAGCTGTGGAGGCTGAACAGGGAAGAGCTCTGCAGAGGTGCTGAGAGGCAAACTGTGAGCAGGCTAGGCCTGGAGACAGTAAGAGATGAAGCTGAGGGCTGGCCACATTTATAGATCCAGGATTGGGGTAGGAGTTTAGTTATAGCCAGAAGGGCTGTTTTGATTTCACCTAGGTCCAGTGCCTGGAGGGGACTAGGAGGGTCTGGTGCCCAGCAGGGACTAGATACCTGCAGTTTGGTCTGGTCCCTGGTGGTGGGGACCAGGAGGGTCTGGTGCCCAGGGAGGACTACATAATGAAAGGAAGACCCAGTGGTTTGGGAGGACTATGAGGGGTGGTTTGGATGTGTAGATGAGGCGATCCCATAGTGTCTGTGGAGGGTGCACCAAATATGCCCAGCAGGGTGATCCATTAGAGCCCATGAGGGGCAATTACATTAGTGCATGAGGGGCACAGACTGGGGGCCAGAGGGCTCAGAGCCCGAGAAGGGTGGAGATGGGGTCTGGGGCCCAGACAGAGAGACAAGGAGCCCACGGAGGCTCAGCAGCCTGAAAAGGGCAGAGATAAAGGCCCTGGATGGCCAGATAAGAAGCTGGGAACCCCAAAGCTCAGTTTGGTGACTGAACTGGAGCTAGAAGGCTCAGCTAGAGAAAAAGGGTGAAGGCTGAGAAGGCCAAGTTTCAAAACAGGAACAATGGCAGACTCACTCTAAGACCTTCAGGTAGTCTCCATCCTACTAAAATAATAGCATCAAAGGTGTGGTGGGTGAGTAACGGAGGTGAGAGCCATAGAGTTGGAGCTGGGGCAGGAATTGCGTGGCCATGGGGGGTGTCACAGCCACTCCTGGGACCCAAACTTGTCACAACCATGTACAAATACGCTACTTGTGCACGCATGAAAATACACAAATGCACCTGGATTTTGGCCACTGAAAATATTACTGTTAAAGTGCAAGCTCTGTGCATACATACAAGCATAATCCCTGCTTATAAGCAACTTACTATAAGCTACTGTTGACACAGCTATTGGTCATGCATAATTGTAATATGAATTTTAACTATCACATTAAGATTCTCACTTTCTTGTGAATGCATTCCCTACAGTACTGTCCTTTTATATTTTTATTAATACCTGTTTGATGTGTATGAGGTGCCTGACAGACTTATTATCCACTTTGGTGATGAAAAACTCCTGCTGAGGTCCAGGAGAACAGGATTCCTAGGGCCAGCATGATGTCTGTCTTATAAAGCTCTCATTCTTCTGGTTGACCATCTGTGTGTGAAAAAGGACTGCTATTACGCAGCAGTAGTTTTGTTGAGCTTGGCCTTGATTTCTTTTTTCCAGATCCTGCCTAGCAAAGAAGGAGCAAGGGGAGGGGTAAGAAACTCCAGAGAGAATTTAATTGGGGACTGGAGGTGGGGGTGGATGGGAAGGAGGGCTGAAAGCTTAAAAAATGACTGACTGGTAGAAGAGTACAGTAAAGTCAGTGAATAATTTTACTGTCCTAGTCTAGCAGCTTGGGAATGTGCCACATTAAACAATAACATCTTCCAAGTAAGTGAAAGAGGGGACAGAGGTAGAGGAGAAGGATGCAGAGGGGAGGGGGGAAGAAGGGGTGAGAAAGTTATTGAATCCCAAGTATAGAGCCACCAGTTCTTGGATCAGCCGGTTTTTATTTTTCTTTTTTTCCATTAAATATTTGACATGTAGTGCACGCCCAGGATATAAAATCAGTATTGCTCTGTTACGAGTAGATGGCAAATACCATTACAGGTAGGCTACTGGCTCTGGGTTTTATACAAATAAATTAAATAGTTATTGCTTCTTTGGAGCCTTATGGACCTCGTCCCTATAATGTCCTGCTAGCGCACTGAAAAAACACTAGGTTTAGGCTTACAGGAGCAAAGGGAGCTGTGTTCCTATTTCTGGCTACCGCAGAATTTATGGAATTCATCTGGGGAGGAGTCTGCTGTAGCAGGGGATTGTCAGCTTCCCAAACGAGAAGGGACTCTGTTCTGGGAGGAATGGTCCATGAGAAGGAGTGTGTATAGGACCATGCACAGTCTGGATTCAGACACCCATGAATACCACTTTTCCAGCATGTCTCCTTGAAGGAAATAGGTACTGAGCCTGAATATGGATGGCCCTTGGAATTTTGCTTCTTTAAGAAGAAAACAAAGCCATAATCTCTAACATGTTGGATGCACCATCTGGTCCGAAGATGTATTGTACAGAGACAGCTATATATGTGCAGACACTCCCAGTCATCATCACACAGAGAATTTAGTTATAGAGCGTCTGATGAACTGCTGATATTATGCCTAAACTCTCTTCCCATCAACAGCTGCGTAGAACCCGGGAGACAAACTTCTTAAAGATACAGCACACTGTCTGCCAGAGACCCGCGTTTCAGCTGCCACTTGACTGTTAAACTTTATTGCATCTCTAAATCCATACACTTTGGCTTAGAGTAAAAGGAGATGAGCGAGAATAAAAATCCCACTGTAAATCACAGTATGTGGAGGCTCTGAGAAATTCACACTGGAGTTCTTGAGCCAACAATGAAGGGAGGCAAGCCTGAGATGAGAAAAAGAGAGGGAAATGGGGAGTCATGAATACACCCCAGGAACAGAACTTTCCACAAAGCTACTTTTCTTGTAGGTTAATGTGTAACTGAGATCCATCAAAGAGAGCAAAAAGGGGGAACTCTTCAGCATTATCAATTTATAACTGACGTTGGGTAAGAGGTGCCTAATAACTTAAAGAGCTTAAGCACTAGGAAGGGTTTAGTCAGCCACCAGGAAATACTGGAAAAGTGTGCGAGCTGTTGCCGTACAGAAATTGGACCATTCTGCCTCACATTTAGCTAGAAAGCCCACAGTGGCACAATAAGAATCTAAACATTTTTTTTTCCGGTTTGCAGCAGAGGAAGTGAAGGAGTCAATCCCCACAAGCAGAGATTGAAAACAGTCACATAAGCCTTATGCATGCGGCACTACTATTGTATATTATTGTATGTGCACGTTGCCCGGTAATTGAAAGGGATATTCTTGGAAAGCTGCCTGAGGAGTTAGGTTACTGGTATAGCTTCCATGGAGCCACACTAAACATGAAAATGCCACTACACCTTTCTGGCTTCAACGGGATGAGGAAAAGATGCCTGCCTATTGGGTAACCTGTGCTTTTGTTTAGACTGGAGCAAAGATCCCTCTCCACACAGTTAAAGGCACAATTTATGGTGGGGAAAATGAATAACCAGACTTAATGTTGCAAATGAGAATCTGGTTTGGGAAAGTCAGCAGAAGCTGATTAAACGGTAGTGTTCTTGCTGATGAAATTGGTGTTGATGTTGTTCCTGTACCAGCATCAAAGACCCACACTAAGAGCTACCAGACTGAAGAGAAGGCAGGGTCTCTTAGGAATGTCAATACATTGTAAGCTACATCAGTGTATTCACAGTCTCTTCTTTATCTTAGTGTCTGTCCTTTTTGATATATTTTGGATAAAGACATTTTCTGCAAGACCTGAATGGTCCATGTGGATACAAAGTATGTGTGGAACACAGAGCCTTATCATACCACCTGGGGGATCATTGTAACCCCAAAACTGTGTCAACCCTAAAACTGTGTTAAAAAATGGTCACAAGGAGAGTGGAAGAGGCCAGGTGAGGAAATAAATGCATTCTGATTCTGGCTCGAAAGCTGTTATAAAGATGAGGGTCCAAAACAACTTCTAAATAACTTGGTTCATGACCATTTTTGGAGCTTAAGTTGAGATTCTGCAATGCTTCAATATATGTTGTTGTTGTTTTGGGTTTTTTCCCCCCCACTTCTGATTTTATCCAAAACTGGAAGTGCAGGAAATCCCTCAAGAAAGGCAGTTCTGGAGATTTTGTTTCAGCCCACTTTGGGGCTCTGGGGTCTGGGACAGAAGTTGCATAAACTGGTTTGACCCAAATCATTTAAGTCTGATACTACATTCAGCCAGGTTTATCTTAAAACAGTTTCAGCCATTTTGAAACTACTTTATGTGCCCTGAGCTTCTGTTCTGTTACAGGTTTAAATCAGTTTCTGATCACTTAAACCAGTTTATGTGTAACTTCTGTCCCTAGCCTCGAAGACCAGATCGTTTGGATAAACCTTGCAAACTTGTGATTGTTTATTTGAACTAAACCTGAAATCTGAATCTTTTAAGGTTCACCCCTTTCTGTAAGGTCTAACCTAATTCAAATTGAAGTCAGTGGGAAGCAAGCCCATAAGGAAGATAGGTTTTAATGTCCTTTTCTTTCTAGCTATGAATGATTCCAGCCTCCAAGATAATTTCTATGTATTGCTGAGTATTAAACAGGTAGAAAATGTACCAAATATAAACAGCTAAAGACTGTATACACCATTGCTCTTCCAGCTGCTAAACATCTCATTACATGTCAGTTCCACTCTTTGCAGAAGGATTGAGTCGGTGAGATGTTCTTTTATAGCTATGATTATTTTCTAACTGTTGAGTTCACTTGTTGATATCCACCCTTCTTGACTAGGAAGATGATTGACCAAAAAGGCCACAGCATTAAGTTACTGATTAATTAAGTAAAACAAACCAACCAATAAAAAAAAACAAGATTAAACTAAGAACACTAAGCAAAGCACACATTTACCTGGTTCAGTAAGACTTCTTAAAGTTAACACAGTATTTTTTCCCCACTCATAAAGCTCATGCACTGTAGCATCTAAAGGTCTCCCATTTATTTATTTGCTTTTCCTCACCACACCTCTGTGAAGTAGGGAAGTAATTTATAATCCCTATAATGGAGACAAGGAGCAGAGGCACATAGTGCAACATATTAGTCTTGTGAAGTAAATGGAAAACCACCCATTGATTTCAGTGGAGCTACCGCCCATAGTAAGATGTGCTACCGTGAAAATATGCCCTGTCTACTCCCTAACACCTCATGTTGGAAAAATGTAATGTAGCTGCTGTTACAGGGGTACTAGACATGTGTTAATAAAGATTCCCAAGTGCAACTTAGACATTTACCAAACAGTGGTTATGCTTCTTTTTTTTGTTTGCATTGGTGAGTGTGGAACAGGAGCAAGTAGGCAGGCTTTATTTTCATGGCAGTGTTTCCCAGCACAGTGATACAGGTATTAGGGTTGTGCAAAGCTTCGGTCCTTGATTCAAGTCGGTGGAGATTTGGCCCAATTCAGTGGCCGAATCTCTGAATCTGAATTGAATCAGGAGACCCTTTAATCTCTCTGAATTGAATCAGAACCCTTTGAATCAATTTGGAGAGATTTGGAAAGATTCGGCGATTTGGACATAGACACAGCTTTAAATGTTTTTTCTACATACCTCAAAGTACCAGGTGGGCTGGTGAATGCTGCGATGGTGGGGTGGATGGAGCGTCCCGCCGAAGCTCGGGGGGGCTCCCCAGTGTGCTCGGCAGCAGACCCGGAAGTGGACCAGAAGCACTTAATTCCTTGATGTGCAATCAAGGTAGTTTCTGGAAAGCAACTATAAATTTTTGTTGGAGAAATCTCAAAATTAGCAATGCATTGCCAGAGATGGAGAGGAAAGCATTGCACTGTAATTTTAATAATGTTTTTGTCTGAAACATGTTTTCTTCACATTCAGTATTGCCCCCCAAATCATACTTTCATCAACAGTGATAGTGTTATGACTCATCATCACAGCAATAAAATTGTACAGTTTTTAAATATTTGCTGCTTTAAAAGCCTTTCTGTAGATCTTATTTGATAGACTTTAGACCAAATTTTCAGAATAACTCTGAAATCAAAAACTCTCATTTAGCTTCCTAAAATATAGGGCTGAATTTATTAAAAGGGCCTTGGTATATGTCAGTTTGATGTTATTCTGAATGGCTTCTGAGATGTGTTGGATGACAAGCAGTTTTGAATACCTTGGCACTTATGTGAGATGTCTAAGTGGAAACTCAGCTCTCTTGAAAAATCTGTTTTTTAGTTATATGCAATGTCTCTAGCACAATACAGCCTAGGGTGACACTTAGGTTATCCTCATTCAAAAGGGTTTTGAACATTTCAAAAAGGCTTGCAAACAGATCTGAATTCAAGTGTACTCTTGAATGGATGCAGCATGGGACATGGCAAGTTTGTGGGATGTTTAGAACTTGAAGATTTACACTATATTTCATTTTTCGTGTGCTTGAGTTCTGTCCATCCAGAATGAAGCATCTAAATTGTTTAGCATTGAAATTTCATGTCTGCAAATCCAGAAGTAGTAAGGCTTGAATCCTTCTGAATGAAACTGTTTTGCACAGATACATTATGCACCTACCTGTGTGCTGCAGGCAACAATTCTCAAATGTACATAGTACTTCTGCCTCTGAGGAAATATGGATGGGAACAAAAGCTATAAGAACATATTTGGTTTCCAGGGATAACCTTTTTATAAAGGAACCCATCTTTTCTCCTAATAAAGCTAATGTAATAAAGCATTGAATTAATATATGTGTAAAAAATCAGCCAGAAATAATAGGTTAAGAGAAATGTTCATAGCAGCAGGATGTAGGAATGCCTCCTAGATATGCTTAACCTGGTATGCACAACTGTTTATATAGCAAACCAAGAAGATTAGCTGCTATACACAAGGTCCAAGCAGATCTGAATCAGAGGAATTATGCTTATTCCAAGGATATGCTATAGCAAACTTTTTATGATCAAAGATTGCTTTGGGGGCTTTCCCACAGATTGTACTCTTAACCTGAACTTGAGATAGAACTAGAAAGTTATCTGGTTCAAATGTTCACCATCTGAATCATCTTTAGCTTATCTGAGCTTATATCTTAGCTGCCTCTGTCTTTTCTAACTTCATTAAAATGACAGTACACATTGCCATCCACCCCTTGGTTATAACTTATTTTGAAATAAATGTACTTGAAGAATGTTTACACAGCTAAATAATTGCACAGTCCATTTCCAAGTGGGATATGTAATATCTTTTTGCTTTTAAAATGTTTTAATGAGGAGGTCAGTTAAAAGCAAATTACTATCAATGGTAGCATATTCTAGCACCAATGTTGTTTTATCTTTCATGGAGAAATAAACTGGGCAGTAAACTCATGTGATTATCAGTGTGAATGAAATCATTCAGTAGGGCAAAATCACAAGAATAAACAATCCTACATTCCATCAAAAGAGGAAATTTCATCTGGAGCTTCAAATGAAAGAACAGCTGTACTAGAGGGGTGGTGAGCTATGAACACTGATCCAATACCTCTTCTCTTTGAAGATGAGAGTTATACCTCTAGATCTGGATCAGAACATCATGGCTTGGGCTTGTCTCTGTTGGCCAGAACTAGAACATTGAATCAACTTTGTATAGCTTTGGTGAGGTTAGATCCATTCCTGCTCTAAATCTGAGATTCACAGCTTGGGGCTC